GAGATCGTGAAGTTTGGTCCATGTGAAATTACGTACCAACGGGTCGAATAGAACAAAAATTGCTAAAAGTCGTGGATTATAGCTCACAAAATCACGAATTTTGATCTCCATAAAATTATTTGCAAAAATGATAAAATGAATAAAAATGGCAAAAAAATCATGCATTATAACTCATGAAATCGAGAATTTTGTCTTCTGCAAAACCAATGAGAGAAAACAACTAAAAATGGCAAAAAATTATGTGTTATAGCTCACAAAATTGTAAATTTTAGTCTCCACCGAAGTATATGCTAATGGGCTGACTTGACTAAAAATGACAAACATCATGGGGTATAATCCACAAAATCGTGAATTTCGGTCTCCAAAAAATTATTCCCAATAGATCAAAATGACTAGAAACAATAAAAAATCATAGGTTATAATTCACAAAATCGTGAATTTTAGTCTTTGTGAAATAATTTGACCAGGAGCCGAAACAACTAAAAATGACCAAAAATCATGGGTTATAACACCATGAAATCGTAAAATTTGGCCTCTATGAATTATTTGCCAATGGTCAAAATGACAAAAAAAAGGGTAAAATGGCCAAAAATCATGGGTATAACTTATAAAATTGTGAATTTTAACCTACAAGAAATTATTTGACAGTGGGATGAAAAGGACAAAAATAACTAAATATCATCGGTTATACTCATGAAATTACGAATTGTGGCCACCGTAAAATTATTTGCAAACGGGGCGGAACGAATAAAATGGTCAAAAATCATGGGTCAAAACTCATGAAATCAATAATTTCTACATCCACCAAACTAGCAAGCTGGAATGACCAAAATATAACTCACGAAATTGTGAATTTTAACTTCCGATAAATTATTTACTAATGGGTTGAAATAACTAAATAATAGGCCATAATAGGCCAAAAATCATTTCTAGTGGGTCGAAATGACTAGAAATGGCCAAAAAATTATATATATATATATATATATATATAATATATATAATATATATATATATAATAATATATATATATATATATATATATATAATATATATATATATATATATATATATATATATATATATATATATATATATATCCAAAAATCATAGGTTTATAGCTCATAAAATTGTGAATTCGTTCAACGTGAAATTATTTACAAATGGGTTGAAATAATTAAATGGCTAAAAATCATGGGTATAATACATGAAATCAATAATTTGATGTCCGCCAAATCAACAAGTCAAGAGACCAAAAAAAGGCGAGATTCTTGGGGTTATAGCAAATGAAATCTTCACCTTCGGGGAATTACTTCCCAATGGGTTGAAACAACTAGAAATGAGATAAATCATGGAATATAGCCATGTAACTATTAATTTGGCCTCTTCAAAATTATTTGATTATGAGTCGAAATGCCTAAAATGCGTTAAAAATCATGGGCCTACGAATTATGCATTTTATCCTCCAAGAAGTTATTTTCTAATTGGTCGAAATAAATAGAAATTGATAAAAATCATGGATTATAACTCACTAATTCGTGAATTTTGGTCTCTATAGACTTATTTGTCAATGGGTTGAAACAAACAAAAATGGCTAAAAATCATGGGTTATAGCGCACAAAATCGTAAAATTTGGCCACTGCGAGATTACTTGACAGCAGGTAAAATGGTCAAAAATCATGGGTTATGGTGCACATGATCATGAATTTTGGTCACTAGGAGATTATTGACAGCAGGTGGAAATGATTAAAAATGGTCAAAAATCATGGGCTATAACTCATGAAATCGAGAATTTTGGCCTCCACAAAACCATCGGGTGAAAATGACTAAAAATGGCCCAAAATTGCGTTATAGCTCACGAAATTATGAATGTGGTCTCTATGTGATCATGTAACAATGGGCTAAATTGAATAAAAATAGTCAAATATTATGGGTTATAGCCCATGAAATTGTGAATTTCAGTCTCCGTGAAATTATTTCCCAATGAATCAAAGCGACTGTAATGGCCAAAAACTATGGGATATAGCTCAGAAATCATGACTTTTAGTCTTTGTAAACTATTTGACCCCAAGTGAAACAGCTAAAAATAGCCAAATATCGTGGGTTATAGCGAATAAAATCGTAAATTTTGACCTACATGAAATTATTTGCCAACAAGTCAAAATGATTAAAAAAAGGACCAAAAACCATGGGTTATGGTCCACGAACTTGTGAACTCTAGCCTTTGCGAGATTATTTTCAAATGGATTGAATTGACTAGAAATGGTCAAAAATCTTGCATTATAGTTCACGAAAGCGTGAATTTTATTTCACAAGGAATTATTTGAAAATGCATCGAAATGAACAAAAATGCTCAATAGTCAAGGGTATATCTCATAAAATTATGAATTTTGGCCACTGTGAAATTATTTGCCTATTGGTTGAAACACTAAAAATGGCAACAAAAAAATCATGGATTATGGCCTTGAAACGTAAATTTTGAGCTCCTCGAAATGTTTTGCTAACATGTCAAAATGACTTAAAAATAGCTAAAGATCACATATTATAGCTCACAAAATGGTGTATCTTATCCTCCGCGAAGTTTTTTTCAGTGGGTTGAAAAAACTAGAAATGCCAAAAATCATGTGTTATAGCTCACGAAATTGTGAACTTTGGTCTTTGTAGAATTACTTGTTAATGTGTTGAAACGAACAAAATGGCCAAAGATCATGGTATATAGCTCAAAAAATCGTGAGTTTTTGGCAACTGAGGTTACTTGACAAAGTGCGAAAATGAATAAAATGGCCAAAAATCATAGGTTGTAGCTCACGAAATCATGAATTTCGGTCTCTGTATAATTATTTGGCAATGGATCATAGCGAAGAAACATGGTCAAAAATTATGGGTTATAACTCACAATATTGTGAATTCTAGTCCCCATAGAATTATGTAATGGGTCAAATAGAATAAAAATTGCTAAAAATCGTGGGTTATAACTCACAAATCGGTCAATACAACTAAAAATGGCCAAAAAATTATAGATTATAGCTCGTTAAATTAAGAATTTTGGCCTCTACGGAATTACGTGCCAGTGAGATTAATTGAATAAAAATGGCTAAACATCTTGGGTTATATATCACAAAATCATGAATTTTGATCTCTACCAAAATATTTGACCACAGATCTAAACGGCTAAAAATGACCAAAGATTGTGGGTTATAGCCCATGAAATCGTAAAGTTTAGCCTCCATGAAAATATTTGTCAATAAGTAAAAACAACAAAAAATAGCCAAAAATCATGGGGCTTATAGCACACGAAATCATGAACTTCGGCCTCAGTGAAGTTATTTCCAATGGACTAAAATGACTAAAAGTGGCCCAAAAATCATGTGTTAGCTCATGATTTTTTCTCATCTTGTTGAAAGATTGATTTTCTATTTTTGTCTTACCAATAAAATAAAAAATAACTTCTTACTGCTAATCTGTGTCACTCTCACTAAAGACTGTGTTTATGTAGATATGATATCACTATATCATTCATGTATCTGTTACGAGACAACATAACAAGTAAAATGTTCTTACATATGAAACAATAAAAAATATATATGATGTACATTTCGCTAGGATTGTAGTCAATTGGTTAGAGCATCACCCTATCAACGCAGATCATTAATTTTAGTCCATAAGGCCCTGTTTGGCAAAGGGTTAAGGAGAAGGGATTAAAGAGAAGGGTTAACTTAGTTAATCCATTGTGAATGATTAAAAAAATTCTAAACCCGTTTGGATATGATAGTTAAGACAAGGGGTTAAGTCTTTTGTGTTTGGCAAAGGAAGTGTGGTTAAGGAGATCAATCTCATTATTTTTTTAAAAAAATACCACTTTCGCCCTTATTGAAGATTTATAAATAATTAACTCATCAAAAACGAAAAAATTAGACATGAGTTTTGGGAGAGAATTTAACGGTAAATTTTACTGTATCGTAGTTTTGTCATAAACATAAGCGAGACATTTTAAATGTCAATAAGTTTTGAGGATATAAACTTGTTTTGATCGCATATTTGTTTCAGAAATTGTTGACAGTTCTAAATACAGCCAAATGATTCTCTCTAGCTTTGTTAACCTGTTTGTCAAATGGCTGAGCAACAAAGTTGCAGGAACACCTCAAAGCTCTTGCACTGCGAGCAAACACAAAGTCAGAGCTTTGCATTTAGACACAAATAAAACAGTATTTCACCTCATTCAAAGCTGTGAAATTTGCATTTAACTCAGGTTATAGTTAAAAATTTATAAATGGCCTGAATTCTTTGCTCAAAAATGAGAATGGGGCGGAAGGGGAGAATTCAGTAAAAAAATAACAAACCAAAATTGCGCAAACCCATCAGCCAAATAGCTGGAGCTTAGCTTAGCCAAAAGATTTTAGCACAAAATCCAAATGATTTCTCGTCTCAGTTGTAGGGAGAGAACCGGCTCGCTTTCAAACCAATCTCAAACCGAGCAAAGCTCTTCCATCTATGCAACTTCAACCTCAAGAATGGCAATTTCCTGGCCACAGCGTGCCAAATCATTTGAACAACATCATCCTTTTGAGATGGGTAGTTGAACTCGAAGAAGCCCTCTATTTCTTTGAGCCTCTCCCACATCTGAGCCCATTGCTCACGGGAAATCTTAACATCAGCCACAACCTAGCAATCAAACATGCACTACTTGAATAATAATACTCGGGAGCTGAGCAAACAAAGTGAAATAGCAAAATAACCAGCTCCTGGTAATTGACTACAAGTTTATTCTAAAAAAATTAGCAATCAAACATGCACTGCTTGAATAATAATACTCAGGAGCTGCTTCCAATCAACAGCAACAACAATACTCAAGAGACAGACCTTATTACAGGTTCATCATATCACATCTAAGCATAACAATAACTTAATGTTGTCTGAAACAATTCAATACAAGGTCCGGAAATTTTGGCAGCCAGGGAATTGAGTAGTTGTTACGGTATATTTCAGCATAATGCATGACAATATTAAAACTAGACTTTAACAGCATACATAATTGAGATAATGTAGACCAAACATGCAGATGTGAGTCACTAGCCGTTAAATTTTTTTACTGTAATCTAGAAATAAGGTCTGTCTCTTGACAACAAGTCTGTACAATAAACTTATAGTTGATATTTAATTGCATCAAATAAAACCTAAATCTCTATACAACAATCCACATATTGCCCCTTAAGCCATCTGAGGCATCAAATATAAAGTAATGTTAAACTTGCAGGATAAAGCTTCCCTTCATACACCCTTCCCTTCGAAGAAATTGACACCACTGCATCCCTTTTATTCCTTTGATCTACTTTACCTTCATCTACCCTTGCATCTGGTAGTATCTTCTACAACTGCTATGATGTGTCTCCTACAAATGGAAGACTGCATCAGTTACCCATATCTAGACCATCTGTGAGAAAAGATGGAATACCTCAATTGATTCTTTGCAGTGCAGCATTGCATGCTTGAATTCTTCAACCCTCGCAAAAGCCTCTGCAATAGCGTCTTCTGCCTGCATAGCAGGAAAGCCTGTAAGTCTCCATTCTGTTATATCATTATTTTACAATCTTTTCGAATCTGAAAAAATAAAGGGGAGAAGGAAATTGTTCTGGTGAAAGCATTAACGACAAGCTCTAAAAAATATCAATGTTTTCCTCAATATTAGCTGGTCAAAAAGATTCTCAGGCAACAATATTGGATACCATTGTACCGGACGAATATATTGAAAAGACAAACCTGAGCAACAACCTTGCCATATGCATGTCTTAGAGATCTAAGGTGACCAAGAGACCTTAAAGAATCCAAAACTAAAATTCTGATAGCTTCTAAACTCGCACATTCCTTCAATCTGCAGATTCGGAAAAGTATTACAAATTGTCAACATTGCAAACAGAAAATAAGAACTAGATACAACAATGATGCATTGTACAAACTTACTTCTTGATCTCCACTATAGCACTTTCTGAAGGCCTTCTCAGGAATTCTAGATCACGATAAGATTAGAATAGTAAATGTTAGAATTAGTTCTTGGGTTATCGGGTTAAGGCCCATTAACCCATTAGCCTATTACCCATATGTAACCCTATATAAACCCATGGAGATGAATGAAAAAGGTAAGCCTCTTAATTGCTCACTCTCAACATGGTATCAGAGAAAACCCTAACCCTAACCCTAACCCTTATTTAGCCGCTGCTAAAAAAAAAAAAATTACTGTATGTTAAAAGCTGTCCGGGAAAAGGATTACTGTATAAGAAACATAGACATTTACACATCTCTGCCTATTCTGATGCTGGGTATGCGGGAGATATAGGAGATAGAAAATCTACTTCTGGATTTTGCACCTTCATTGGAGGAAATTTGGTTACATGGAAGAGCAAAAACAAGATGTAGTATCTCGATCTAGTGCAGAAGCAGAATACAGAGCTATGGCTCACACTGTTTGTGAGATGATATGGCTACAGAAGCTGCTGACCGAGCTTGGCTTTTCTCAGCTTGGATCTATGCCAATGCATTGTGATAATCAATTTGCTATCCACATTGCAAAGAATCCAGTGTTTCATGAGAGAACTAAGCACATTGAAGTTGATTGTAATTTTGTCAGAGATGCTTGGGAAAAAAAAGTGATATCTCTTCAGTTCACTCCGTCTTCGGAACAGTTAGCTGACATTCTCACTAAAGCTACTTCACCTAATGTGTTTTCCAGTCTATGTAACAAGCTGGGCATGATTGATATATATGCTCCAGCTTGAGGGGGAGTGTTAGAATTAGTTCTTGGGTTATCGGGTTAAGGCCCATTAACCCATTAGCCTATTACCCATATGTAACCCTATATAAACCCATGGAGATGAATGAAAAAGGTAAGCCTCTTAATTGCTCACTCTCAACAGTAAAGATATAATATATCAAGTCATCGAATATATCTCTCTATAAATATAAATACATCAAATTTAATTATATATAATGTAAATGCATACATACATATGGTAATGTTTTTCCACTTCAAGAACAAAATGAATTTCTTTTCACCTAAAATTGCAATGTTTGTTCCAAATCGTAAATGATCCATATGTCATTAACTTTTTTCTTGAAAATTATAATCCATTGATCTAACAGCTGAGAATATTCAGTTTAGTAATATAAGAAATGGATATTACATAAGTTTAGAAGCTCCAAATACACAACAGATCACAATGATGGTGAGGGTCTGTGTTCTGAAAACTTGAAGATGCCAAGGGCGCCAAACCTATTTTCTAGAATAACACTAAAAGGAGGCAACTGTAACAGTTTCACAAAATAAGACAGTCTCTGCGATATAAGTCACTTACTAAGTCTCAAGTTCTCTTGAGATGTAATATGGACAAGAGTATGGCAGAATGTGACAGACATGATTTTAATATAAACTTTTTCAACAATTCATTGCTTAAATAGAAAACAACATAGAAGTAAATGAGATGGATAAAGTGATAAACAAACCTGTTCTACACTGCTAGTAGAAACGTCATTGACATTAGAAAATTCTCGTGTCTTCTCAAATTCCTCATATCCATCTGACTTCATCCTGACAATAGCCATAGAATTGATCTTAATTTGGGATAACAGTAGAACAAGCTGCAAAAAGACGAAGTAAGGTTAATCTAAATAACATTAATTTAGACATAGAGGGTACTATACAATGATAGTCAAGGGATCAAGTAACTGGTATAAACTCAGCTAATCTCCATAACTGGCTCAAATGTTTTCATATCAAGTTTAGAATAGAAGCCTCCACTATCAAGTTCAAAATAGATAACACAAATACAATTCCTTTCCCCTCACACAGAAAAGAAATCAAATCAACAAAGAAAGAAAATTGCTTCCACATTAATAAGTGAAGCCTCCAGAACCATTTAAATGGGATTGAATGAAAGGTTACTTATAGTTGTGTGCCCTTCTAGTAATATTTTCCACAATGTAACCCCAACATTTTGGACTCAATACTAGTAAATCCCACAGCTACGAGCCAATTAATTCAACATTAACTTGTATTGTGCAAAATTAGATTTTTTTTTTTTAATATGATTCACAAAATTTTATTAGTTGGCCCTTTGCCATTTACGACATAGATTCCAAAAAGAGGGGAAAATGAGACATAAAACCTCAATAGAAGCTAACTTAGATGTATTCTTACTAATCCTTTTTTTGGTTAATGAGTAGTCAGTATGCAAGCTGGATAGAGATGATAGTTAGAAAAGCAAGTATTTTTTGTAATTGGAATACAAATCATCCTTAAAAAAACATCCAATTAGACCTTAAAGCATAGCCTATTATGCTTGCATCAAATTTTCAAGTCAAAAGCATCCAAATACAGAAGCGTCCAGTTAAAACAAGTACTAGATTATCCCTCTTGCTATGTTCATTACTTGCTTCAATTATCAGTTACCGGACATTCCAATGCTCGAAGCACTACTTACTTGAACTCCTAAAGCCAGAACTATAAAGCAATTCAAGCAGAGTGCAAACTCAGGTACCTTAAGAAATGCCGACAGTGACTTGATCTGAGCAGTAGCCGTCAACTGAACCTCCTCCAAATTCCGAAGCACCAAACTCTTTCCACCTCGATCGAGCACATCCACGACCAACCAGAACACAATTTCCATCCTCTCCAGCTCCTCCACCGACTCCTCCTCAAACCTTCCCGCATAACTCTGACTACTCAATGTCGGCGTCAACACCTGGTCCAAAACGCTCCTCCTAGGGGTCCCACTCCCATTATCCCTCACCGCCTCACTGGAACCGTCATCCATCACCTCCCCGCTCTCATCTTTTCCCTTCCCCTTCGAATCCCACGGCGATGAAGACACTGAATTCTCCGACAATGAGGTCCCTGCCACCGCGACCCCATCGAGAAGGCACTCCACCACTCTCTCAGCATCGGCGAGGAGGATCGGAGGGCAATTATTGATGACTGCACTCAGGAACACCTTCGCAATCGCCTTCGACGCAGCGGAATTAGGAACCATCTTTTTTCCTAATTCCGCTGCCTACCCTCGCGTGAGAAGGCGGAACAAGCCTTGTTCCGCCTTCTCACGAGTAATAGTAAACCCGTGGGTTAGCGAGTTAAACGGATAAAAAGCTCACGTGCGGGTTAATAAACCCTTAAGACTTTTTTTACTATTTGGCAGGCTAATGGAGGGTTAAACCCCCTTAACCCTCCATTTAACCTCTTGCCAAACGCAGCCTAAGGAATTATTTGAAAAAGGGACAAAATGAACAAAAATGGACAAAAATCATATGTTATAGCTCGTGAAATCGTAAATTCTAGCGTTCAAAAAATTATATGTAAACGGGTCAAAATAACTAAAATATGGCCAAAAATCATGGGTTATAGCCTTAAAATAGTAAATTGTGGCTTCTTTAAAAATATTTGTTAATAGGATGAAATGATTAAAAATGACTAAAAATCATGGGTTATAGCCCACGAATTTGTGTATTTTGTTCTCTACGAATTCATTTCCCTATGGGCCAAAATGAATAGAATGGCCAATAATCGTGGGTCTCAACTCACAAAATCATGAGTTTTGGTCTCCGTCTAATTATTTGTCAATGCGTTGAAATAAAAAATTGGCCAAAAATCATGGGTTATAGCAGATAAAATCATAAATTTTAGCCACCCTGAAATTATTTAACAAGTGAAAATGACTAAAAATCGTGGGTAACTTACACAATCGTGAATTTAATCTTTTGCAGAATTATTAGGTAGTGGATCAAAAGGAAGAAAAATGGTAAAACATCATGGATTGTAGCTCACGAACGGTTCCCACAGAATTATCTGCCAATTGGTCAAATAAAATAAAAAGTGCTAAAAGTCATGAGTAATAGCTTAAGAAATTGTGTATTTGGTCTCCATGAAATTATTTGTAAATAGGCTAAAATAACTAAAAGTGGTAAAAAATTATGGATTATAGCTCATGAAATCAAGAATTTTGGCTTTCGCGAAATCAAGAGGTCAAAACAATAAATTTAAGCCAAAATTTATGGATTATAGCTCACAAAATAGTGAATTTTGGTCTCCATGGAATCATTTATGAATGAGCCGAATTTAGGTTGTAACCTATGAAATTTTGAATTTAGGTCTCAGCAAAATTATCTTTCGGTAGATCAAAATGACTAGAAATGACCAAATATTATTGGTTATAGCTCATAATATCGTGAATTATAGTCTCCGTGAAATTATTTGACCACAGGTCGAAACAACTAAAAATGACCAAAAATTATGGGTTATAACCTAATGAAATCATAAAATTTGGCATCTTCGTAATTATTTGGTACCGGGTCGGAATGACTAAAAATAGCAAAAATCATGGGCTATAACCTACGAAATCATGGATTTTGGCATCCGCCAACTTATTTTCCAATGGACCAAAAAGACTAGAAATAGCTAAAAATCGTGGGCTATAGCCCATGAAATCATGAATTTTAGGTTTCAAAAAAATCGTGAATAATAGTCTACCAGGAATTATTTGACAATGGCTCCAAATAATAAAATATACCCAAAAATCATGAATTATTGCTCATAAAATTATGAAATTTGTCCACTATGAAATTATTTACAAATAGGTTGCAATAACCAAAAATAGTAAAAAATCATAGGTTATAACTCGTGTAATTAATAATTTAGTCATGCACCAAACCAACAGGCTAGAATGACTAAAAATGGCCAAATAATCATGGATTATAGCTCATGAAATCGTGAATTTTAGCGTCTGAGGAATTTTCTGACAATGGGGTCAAAACAACTAAAAATGACAAAAAATCATGGGTTATAGCCCATGAGATCGTAAATTTTGGTCTCCTCAAATTTATTTGCTAATGGATCGAAATGACTAAAAATGGCTAAAAATAATGGGTTATAGCTCTGGAAATTGTGTATTTAATCCTCAGTGAAATTATTTCTCAATGGGTCGAAACGACTACAATTGGCCAAAAATCATGGAGTTTATCTCACGAAATAGTGAATTTTGGTCTCTCAAAATTATTTATCAATGCATCAAAATGAATAAAAATGGCCAAAAATCTTGGGTTATAGCTCTTGAACTTGTGAATTTTGGCCACTAAAAGATTATTTGGTAATGGGTGGAAATGATTAAAAATAGCCAAAAATCATTGGTTACAGCTCACGAAATCATGAACTTTTGTCTTTGATGAACTATTTGACAAAGGGTCGAAATGGACAAAAATGCCCAAAAATCATGGATTATAGCTCATAAAATTGTAAATTTTTGTCATCATGAAATTATTTATAGATGGATTGAAACGACTAAAAATGCCCAAAAGATCATGAATTATAACTCATGAAATTAATAATTCTGCCATTCGCTAAACCAACAGGATGGAACGATTAAAAATGGCCAAAAATCTTGGGTTATATCTCATGCAATCGTAGATTTTGACCTCTGATAAATTATTTGCTAATAGATCAAAATATCTAAATATGATAAAAAATCGTGAGTTATAGCTAATGATATTATAAATCTTGTCCTTTGTGAAATTGTTTGCTAACAGGTCAAAATGGCAAAAAAGGCCAAAAAGTGGACAATAGTCCACAAAATCGTGAACTTTAGCCACCGCAAAATAATTTTCCAATGGATTGAAACGACTAAATATAGCTAAAAATTGTGAGTTACAGCCAACAAAATTGTGAACTTTGCCCCTTCAAACGTATGTGTTGATGGGTTGAATAAAATAAAAAAGGCTAAAAATGGTGGATCATAACTCACAAAATTGTGAATTTTGGGCTCCATGAAATTATTTGCAAATAAGCCAAAATGACTATTAACGGCAGAAAATCATGGATTATAGCTCATGAATTTTAGCCTCTGCAAAACTAACGGGTCAAAACGATTAAAAATATACTTGTTAATATCGGTTGCTTTATGATTAGATATACTTCTTAATATCAGTTGCTTTATGAATTTGCAGAAAATAAAGAAGCTATCAAATAAGAGCTCAAAGAAGCCCAAAATACCTCTACTTAAAGCCTAAAAGAAGCCTAGAGGAAGTCCACAAAGCCCCATAAGTGTACAAGTCTAACACAAGAAAATGAAATTCTATTACACACTAATCAATGGGCTCATTGATGAGCTATTACAATTAGGTTGTAATTAAAACTTATTAATTACTGATTTTGATTTCTTAGAGCTCAAGGCTAATCTAATGGCTAATGTTGATTGTTATAGACTATAAATAAGGGTAGAGAGTAAGGGTGAGGGACATGTAAAAATTTTATAAACTATTTTTTTGAGAGGATGGCTTTTAATTAGGCCTTTCAAAATTATAAACTTTAGTTTACAATAAATAAAAAACTTCATTTTAAAATTTTTATGATGAAGATTTGCTTCAACTCCTTACAATGTAAGTATTTATTTTTTCTCTTTTATTTTCTTATTTAGAATTGCAATGTAAGTTTTTAATTTTTTCCTCTTTTATAGTCATTTCTATCTATTGATAAATAATATCATGAAGTCCAGAATTTACAATTTTATGAACTATAGTCCATAATTTTTGTCTTTTTTTACTAATTTCATCACATTAGTAAATAAATTATCGGCGTCCAAAATTCACGATTTAACTCATGATTTTGGCCCATTTTAGTATTTTCTATCTATCAATAAATAGCTTCACAAAGTAAAAAATTCATAATTTCATGAGCCTAACCCATAATTTTTGAATATTTTTATTCATTTCTTCCAATTGGAAAATAGTTGTATTGAGTCCAAATTTTATGATTTCATAAGCTATAACCCATGATTTTTTACCATTTTTAGTAATTTCGACACACATGCAAATTAGTTTGTAGAGTCCGAAGCTTACGATCCACGATTTTTGGCCATTTTATACATTTTGATCCATTAACAAATAATTTTGGGGAGTCCAAAATTCTTAACTTCATAAGCAACAACGCACGTTTTTTTTGTAATTATTAGTCATTTCTATCGATTAGCAAATAACTTTATGATTTTCTGCCCCAATTCACAATTTTATAACTATAATCCACGATTTTTGACCACTTTTTAGGTTTCAACCCATTAGAAAATAATTTGTGGAGTTCAAATTCACAATTTTATGGGCTGAATTCCATAAATCTTTGCTATTTTTAATCATCTCGACCGATCGTCACATAATTTTGCAAAGTCCAAATTCACGATTTCATTAGCTATAACCCACGATTTTTGGCCTTTTTTACTTGTTTCATCCCTTTGGCAATTTATTTCACACAGTCCAAAATTCACGATTTCACGAACTATGACCCACATTTTTTTACCCTTTTTTTGCTTAGACCCATTGGAAAGTAATTTTGTGATGTCAAAAGTAACGATTTCATGAGCTATAACTCCCTATTTTCACCATTTTTCATCATTCCAATCCATTAACAAATAGTTTCACATAGGGCAAAATTCATGATTTTACAAGTTATTACTCATAATTATTTTGATATTTAGTCATTTCAATTCATTTGTAAATAATTTTGCCAAATTCAAAATTCAGAATTTCATAAGCTGCAACCTGCAATTTTTAACCATTTATTGTCATTTCCACCCATTGTCAAATTATTTCACAAAATCCAAAATTCACAATTTTATAATTTATAGTCTACGATTTTTGCCATTTTCAATCATGTCAATTCGTGATCAAATAATCTTTGGGAGCCCAAAATTCAAAATTTCTTGATTTGTAACCATGATTTTTAGCTAGTTTTAGTAGTTTCTATCTATCGATAAATAAATTTGTAGAATCTAAATTTACAATTTCAAAAGCTTTAACACATGATTTTTAACTATTTTTATTAATTTATACAAATTGATAACAATACGAAATAAATAAAAACTATAAGAAATCGTGTATTTAGAAGCTTGCAATTTTATTATGCAAAAGCATAAAAAGTGATTTAACCCAAAAAAAACCTAAATTGTGAATTTTACATAAGAAATCGTGAATTTAAGAGCGAACATAAAGTTATACATAATATTATGCAGAAATGCATGAATTATTTGGCCAAAAATGGCCCAACTTGTGAGTTAAAGAGTCTAATGAAAAATCAGGTATTTAACTGAAAACAATCGGATTATGGTTTACAGACATCGAGAAATCCTAAAGGTAAAGCAAAAAAACAAAACTTAGCCTGGAAAAAAAACTGAATTTACGTAGCCTCTACAAGGCCTTGCCTTCGAAGACAAATCAAACTTGGAAAGCAATTGTGTGTAACGCTAGCAATTCTCAAAAATACATCCAATAAAAAAATTGAAAACAAAACAAGATCCAAGTCTCTATCATTTTTAAATGAAAATATAACAATAAAGTCCAATAAGATTCAAGTAAGGACATTCCAGCGAGAGTGCGAGAAAATTCAAGACTACAAAGAAAGTTATAACGGATGGAAACAACAAAATTTTGGTACTATTTTGGTACGACTAACACTCCAAAATTTACTAACTAAAAGAACACAACAAAAGTCTTAAGCTGAACTCTGCTTCTTGAGTTTACCAAGCTCTTGCCTGACAGCAGCTCCCCTCTGGGGAAAAAAATTAAATAAATAGTAAACACAATCAGGAATAAACAACATTGGATCAGGGGGATTAACATGAGGAATCACACTCAAAATAATAGGGGTAGAAACCACATCTCACCTTAATCTTTGCAAGCATCACCTTAAACCTGTCTAAGTCATTTAAGGAAGCTCTTCTCTTCTGAACAATCAGCTTCCTTCCCCATGAGCTATTCTCCCATTTGTTCTTCACATCTGCAGGCAGAAGTGACATCATCAAACAAAAAAGTCATAATGAAAATGTTCACACCCTGTTAACCCTCTTTAGTTAGGAAATTGAGATCCTCACCAGCAGCCTCCATAGCAGCTATCAGAGACTTCTTTTTTGGAATTCTTGGGATATCGATCTTTATATCTGTGAGAGTTAACCTCTTGAAGTTCATCGGACCACGAACCAGGTCAGGAGCGTCAACTAGAGCCTGCACAATTTAAACAAGGAAAGTGTTAGCCAAGATTATTAAAAGAAATACATGTGAGGAATAAGTCAAGGAAAATGCAAAGAGAGAAGACGACCAATACTTTATGGGAAATAATTTTGCAGCAATGTTGTAGGTACGCCCTTATCCCACTCATAATGTTAGCCAGACAACACTAGTCGATAACAGAAGGCAAGCCAAAACACCAACACATAAGAAAATTAAAGCATAAGGCTTTATTCTTCTTAAAAAATCCAATACACACACCACCGCAATTGTTGCTGCTAGCAAAGAAGAGAATTCATCACACGTAATTGTCTTTAGCATACACAAGATAATCTGCATATCCAACCTTAAGAATCACAGACTAATATAAGTTAGAATACAGCTTACATAGAAGTGGAAATTTAGTGTTACTTTCTGAAGTGTAAAAAGAGAAAAGCGTAACGGCGAAAAAAAGTCAAATATTCACACTGCCACAATTTATCACATAAACTTTCATGAACCTAAACCTACACACAGGGCATCTGTCACATGCAACTAATAAGATTTATGGGCACATTTAACCACTATATATGTGATAATTCACTTTAATTTAATTCCATGATGAAATTACATCTAACAACTTAGTATATACAGACCATAGATTAAGTCAATTTTGGACTTATTAACAACTACAATTCTTCAATTATCTCTCATTTTCTTGTCCTTCTCATGTCTTTGATTGCCACTTTTGACCATTATATGCCCTGCACCAATGACCATCCAGATCACTAGCGACTACCAACTGTTGGCCAAAATTGGGGGCAATATACCACGAGCAAGGTTATCGATAGCGGATAGCGTTGGGTAGCGGTGAGACATCCCTAAGCCTATTTGGGGCTATTGCGGCAAAATAGCGATAAAAAACGCGAAGTCAAATAACGGCCTAATTTAAATATGTATAAATATTAAAAAAAGAAAAATTATAAAAAAGTTTAGAAAAAAGTGCATTTGATGATTTAAGAGATCCTAAACATAAAATAGACACGTAACCGTCACATAATACCGAAGACAACTGGAGAAGTCAAAGAGTTGTCATCTTCGAGAAGATGAGCTAAGCGGTGAGAGGATTGCACTAGGAGGAGCTCACGGCGAGTGGAGGTGAGAGGAAGTGTTGAGTGAGGTGTCAGAAGGAGGTGCCAGAGGCTATTGTAGGCGGCAGGAGTACGCCGGAAAGCGAGGGAGACGGTGGGATGTAGTTGTTGCGGGTCAGGTTTTAACTTTAAAAAAATAAATCTCAAACCGCTTTTAAATAGCGATAAAAAAACGGATTTTGCCCGCAATTTTCCCGCTACTCACTGATGTGGTGCGCTATTGGCCGCTTTTGCAAGCGAAAAACGCATATTCCGCAACATGTCACCGTTATCGGGCAACAGCGTAGCGTAGCGAAAAGGGATCGATAACGCTATTAGCACCGTTATTGCGGGGCTATTTACCGCTATTTATAATAGTGACCATGAGCCGTCGTTAATTTGGGAGGTTAAATAAATATTATTATACGAAAACACAGTGATTTGCTGAAAACTGGCCAAAGTAGTGGGTTACTGTCCACAATAATATGTTAATTTGGGAGCTCAGGTAAACATTTGTATGCGGGAATGCAAGAAGTGATTTATCGAGAATGGCCAAAATTGAGTATTATAATCCCGAGAAATCATTAATTTGGGAGCTAACACAAACGTTTTTATGGGGAACAGCAATAAGTGGTTGTGCCAAAACCAACCAAAATTATGAGTTGCAGTGAATTTGGGAGCACACATAAATGTTTGCATGTAGAAACGGAAGAAGTTTGATCGAAAAATGGCTAAAAGTTTATGTTAAACTCACAAGAAATCATTAATTTAGGAGCTGTCACAAATGTTTCTTTGCGGGGGCGGAAGAAGTGCTCAGGCCGAATTCAATCAAAATTTTGAATTATATTCCACAAGGAATCAAGTAGGGAGCTCTCATAAAAATTTTCATGTAGGAACGTAATAAGTTATTGACCGAAAATGACAAAAATAATAGGTTATAATCAATGAAAAATGGAGAAATTGGGAGCTTGTATAAATTTTTTTCTAAGCAGTAACAAAAGTATTTTGACAAAAAATAGCCAAAAATGTTAGTGAGAATCCATGAATTTGGGAGCTTGCGTAAATATTTCCATCCAAGAACGTTAAGTGATTTGGCGATAAAGGACTATAATAGTAGGTAAGGTTACAAAATACACTAGGCGGCCTAGGCATTGGACCCAACACCTAGTGCCTAGGCAGGGCCTAGGCGGTTTTACTATTATTTATTTTTTTAATTACAATAATCGATGGTAAATGTTAATGTTATCGAAAGCTTAGGGACCGAACTGACGCCTAGGCAAATTTCTCTCTTTGTTTAAGTGATGGAGGAGGTTTCGTTAAAGGTCGGAGGAGATAGAGGTGTTCATAGTTGGAAACTGGAGGAGTTTGGAGGTCATTTAGGCCGCAACGGAGAAAATCAATGCCTAAAAGGTACAGTCCACGTAAGCAAACTAGGCACCCTTTGGTGCACCTGGAACCTAGGTACATAGCCTACGTACTGTCTAGGCGCTAGGCAGGCAACAAGTAGCGTACATCTAGGCATGTTAAGCACAGGCTTTTTAAAATAATCATAGTATGTTATAGTCCAAGACAAAATTGTGAATTTGGGAGCTAGCTTAAATGTTTCTAGGTGAGAACAGAAGCGATTTTGCCAAAAAATGAAAAACTATAAGTAAAGGTCAATGAGAAATCGTGAACTAATTAGAAGCTTGCATAAAAATTTCTACGAGGAAAAGCGAATATTGATTTGGCCAAAAAAGGCCAAAATTTTTTGCTTATCACCCATAATAAATCATGAATTAGAGAGCTCACATAAATAATTCTATAGGAGAACGCAGCAAATGATTTGGCTAAAAACGACCAAAATATAAGAAGAAATTGTGAAATTGAGGGCTCACATAAATATTTTCTACGTGGAATAAGTAATTTTGCTGAAAAACAGCTATATAATCCACGAGCAAGCAAGAACTTGGAACCTACAATATATTTCTATGTAGAAATGCAAGAAGTAATGTGGCCAAAAGCGGCCAAAATTGTGGTCTACAGTCCACAAGAGATCGTGAATTTAGGAATTCGTATAAACATTATTTATGCGGGAACTTAAGAAGTGCTTTGGGTAAAAACATCCAAAATTGTGGGCAGTCTACAAGAAATCATGAGTTCGGGAGCTCACACGAATATATATTTCTACACTGAAACACAACAAGTGATTTGGCCAAAAGCAACCGAAATTGTGGGTTAAGAAATTGTGAATTTCATAGCTTGAATAAATATTTCTATGCAGGGGTGCAATAAATGATTTAGCCAAAAATGGTAAAAATTGTGTGTTATAGTTTATGAGAAATCATGAATTTGAGAGCTCATATAAACATTTCCATCAGGGAAAAAGCATGAAGTGATTTGCTGAAAACACCAAAATTGTGCATTATATTCTAGTAAATTAACAAAATTGGGAGTATGCATAAAGATTTTTTAACCGTGAACGGAACAAGTAATTTGGAAAATAACTAATGTGGGTTACAGTCTACATGAAAAGTGAATTTTATGACTTAGATAATATTTAAATGCGAGAATGCAAGAGTGATTTGGCCGAAAATGGCCAAAATTAAAGGGTTATAGTCTACGAGCCATCATGAATTTAGAAGCTTGCATTGATAATTTCACGCGGGACTGCAAGAAGTGCTTCGGACAAGATAGTGAAAATTGTTTGTTATAGTCAATGAGAAATTGTGAATTTGAGAGCTCACATAAATATTTCTATGCTGGAAGAAAAGAAGTGATTTGGTTTAGGACGGCAAAAATTGTGGGCTATATAGATCACAAGAAATCGTGAATTTGGCAGCTAATATAATATTTATTGGCAAGAACACAAGAAGTGATTTGACTGAAAAAGGCCAAAATTTTAGGTTCAAGGAACCGTGAATCGAGAACCTCGGATGAATATATCTATGAGGGCTGCAATAAGTGATCTGGCTAAAAACAACCAAAATTGTAAATCCGATTGAATTTGGGAATTTGGGGGTTCTCCTGGATATTTCTACGTGGGAAAGAATAGATATTTAGGCCAAAATTGGCCAAATTGTAAACTATAAATAGCGAGAGAATGTGAATCTAGGAGGTCGCATGAATATTTTAAACGAAAATACATAGAAGTTTTGGCCGAAAACGATCAGAATTTTGGATTATAATCCACAAGAAATCGTGAATTTAAGAGTTGACATAAATATTTCTATGCGGGAATGCAAGAGATAATTTGGCCAAAAACAGCCACAACTATAAGTTATTATCCACAAAAAATTATGAACTTAAAATCTTGCATAAATATTTTTATAGAAAAGTGTATATGGCCAAAAATAGCCATAAGTGTAGGCTATAGTCCACGAGAAGTCGTTAATTTGGGAGCTCGCATAAATAGTGTCATGTAGGAACGCAAGAAAGGATTTGGCCAAAAACGAACAAAATTGTGGACAATAGTCCTTGAAAAATCATGAATTTGGAGGCTCGCTTAAATATCTTTACGCTTAAATTTCATAGAAAGACATGGGCGGCAAGAAAAGTGTCATATTGACTTCTCCATGTGGTGAAGGGAGATGACAAAATATATGATCACTTATTTACTTTTTTAGTTGTAGTTTGTGTTGTTAGATTAGATTGAAAGCAAGAGGGAGTTAGATAGGGAGAGGAGAAGAGAAGGGTATCACATCCAACCAAAGGTAGTACTCACATTAACATAACTATAAATTCTATTAATTGCTTCCAAATTACACTACTTCACCTTCTATGTGTATCCGCTCATGTTTTAATTATAATTTAAATACAAGATTTCATCATTGTCGCATTAAGACTTTCAACATATTGTTGATATTTAGTTATGATTGTAGATTATCAAAACGCAACTTGAAATTTGTCAATACCAATATTAAGATCAGTGCATAGTTGATAATATTCGAAGGAAAATCTAAGATTGGGTCAAGGTGCTTGAAGAACTCGGCATTTTTACTGCTGATCGTCATCTAAAATCATGCAACATCTTCAAAGATAATCAAATCATCAATATATACTACCAAAATACAATATTTTAATTGACAGTGTAGGACTTATTGAAATAGTGGTATGCATTTCAAAAGCTAAACTTATAGTTTTTTTTAAGCATGCGGACATCTTTAACAAAGGATTAGTGTCTTCACAGCTTATGAAACTTAGAAGACAATTCAGAGTCTCAGACTCATATTAAGGGTCACGCTAGAGGTAAAGATAATCAACAATTAAATTTTGAAGCACAAAAGAGTCATTGTGTACTATATGTCATCACTTGAAGCATAATTGAAGTGTGTGCTTTGGGCCTTACAAAAATGAAAATCAACAATTAAATTTTGAAGCACAAAAGAGTCATTGTGTCCTATATGTCATCACTTGAAGCATAATTGAAGTGTGTGCTTTGGGCCTTACAAAACTCCTATTATGACACAAATGCTTCGTAGGGAAGGGTAAAAAATAATTTTAAATAAAATAAAATATTCTATCGCTTCATTTTATTTCCCCCAGTTTCAAGTATTTCGCCTTTCATAGAAGTTCAAAACCAAGGAAATTGATCAAATTATATCATATATACAGTTCTTTTTTTCTGTTTTGAATGAACAGTTCCTTCTATGAGTTCAACCTCTTTCCCAATAATTTTGAATTTTCGGTAAGATTTCTTGTTTCTTTGTTAATCTGAATGGATGCTTTACTTGTCTCTAACAATTGAACTAAACATTTTTAATAATAAACAGTAACTTTATCATGTGCTGTCAATAGGAATTATGTCTTACATATGTAGCTTGGTTTATAAGATTTATGTCTGTACATACATAGCGTATTTCATTTTATCGCCAAAGACGTGATTGTAAAGTATTACACCGCAACATCGTATGCATATAATATTTGTAAATTTTAAAATTAAAAATATAATTAGTTTATGAGGCTAAAGTCACACGCCTTGAAGCTAATGAGTTGTTTCATAGAAAGGTTAAAAGCTTCAGCTTGCGCCTTTCGCATATTTAAAAAATGTAAGTCACCTAGCCAGCTACAAATAGAGGATAACCTTTTACTGAAAGATGATAATGAGTGAGGAGCTGCATATTGATATAAGTTCTACATGGTTAACATAGACGTCGGAGTAAGCGTGATGTGAGAAAAGTGGTCTTCTAATCTCTCACGACGGATATAACATGAGAATCAATGCTTTAATACAACTTTGCTCAGTAATTGAGCGTGATAGACATAATAAATGAAAAGACAAGATAACGGGTATTCGTTATATTTCAATTAAAGTAGCATCCTGTTTACTCTCTCTTTTGTAATGAGACCCACTGGCGCACAAGCAAGGTGCTTACTTATTGCACGGTTGACCTTAAACTTACAGGTCCTTACTTACTGTCTTCTGAAAAGTGGGTGTGGCCTCTGTTTGGTTAGCTTTATGAGAGATAGTGAACAAATCATTCAAACAATAAACCCAACAATATTCAGTGCATCGTCTAGAAGTAAGAAAAAACACGCACCTGGTTAACATGCAAATATTTAGCTCCATTTCACATAAAAACCAGCTCACTAGAAAATAGAAGATAAATTTCATATGATCTATATGATAGCTATTAAATTACACATAATCTCTGATTTCTCAGTAAATACTCGTGTAGAAACACCCACTACCAAACCAATACATAATAAAATTGGCTTAAATCCATTGAAACCGGGAAGATAGTAGGAACCACAAGATTTTTTTTAGACAGATGTACAGAACTTCATAAACCCCAATGGCGACGTCAAAACAAGAAATTTTACCCCAAAAAAAGAGTCGCCCAAATAAGCACCACATGATTAGAGCATGAACCTTGACACGAACAAAGCCTTTAAAACGCAACAAAAAAATATATTTTTTTTACAGTAACAACTCATTAGATAGAAATTACGCACTCTGTTCTGATCGATGACGTCGACGATAACGACGAGCTTGCCGTAATCCCTGCCATAGTTGACGAGGGCGACTCTCCCAATCTCCACGTAGCGCTTGAAAGGCTAATCGATTCCAACAAAATCATCGAGAAACAAGAACCCTAGGTTAGTCGAGAAACCGAAAGACTAATTGAGATCAAGAACAACAAAAAAAATAAAAAATTGGTATTTTGCCCAATTTTGTTACCATTTTCCGGGATGGAGTTCTTCGAACGGGTTAGGGCTTTTGCGGCTTCAGACGGGGTGACGAGGGTGACGACTGCTGAAGACTTACATTTGCCGTCGTTTCCAAAAGTACCCTCGTTACTGGACCGGTTTGGGCTTTTAGGCCTATAATTGCTGGGCTTGGTCTTAGGTCCAAATAACTTGTACGGCCCGACATCTGGGGTAAATTGCACTTACATGTCCTAAAGTTTCGCTTTTTTTTCACTTATTGCGAGGATTGCAGCTACAATATATAGGCAGCTGCAATATATAGGCAGCTGAAGACTCGCATTTACATGCGAGGATTGCAGCTACAATATATAGGCAGCTGCAATATATAGGCAGCTGAAGACTCGCATTTACAGTGCAGGAGTCGTCTACACGGCCGAAATTAGTAAGCGCTCATCGAACAAACAAACCGTAAATTCAAAGCTTTTTGTTCCTGAGTTGTACCCAAATTAAGATCCCCATCCTCTGATCCGCCGCCTGAATCCCATTGCTACGTATTCTCCACGTAAATCAAGCTCCATAGGCCAATTGATGGTTGGTTGGTTGGTTGGATCTCGCAAGAATCTAAATTATGCAAAAACACCGTAATACTTATAATGATGAAGCAGACAAGGAACATTTGGGAGAGGAGCTTTCTGCTGTCTTATATCACTAACACTAAAGTATACTGTAGTATGGTTCTTCATATTTACTAGGCGACGTAACCATGAGCACGAAATTTTTTAGAAAACACAACAAATATAAACGTACTTGATCATAGCAAAATATGGATTCGAGTCTTTAAAATATACCCACAAAATTAGGAGGAGGGGGGCTAAGAAAAGAAATTATCCCCCCTCGTCTAGCCCCAACTTTTAACCACTCGATTGTCCCCGTAATTTGTGCAACTACCACTCAAAACCTACGGCTGCAAAAAACTCCAAACACATATTCAGAGGAAACGGAGGACTATAGATCACTTTCAGCTTCTCATTCGTCTCCTGG